TATATTTAGAAGTATTATTTCTAATAGTTTAGAAATCTATTAATTACTCTTTAGTAATTACTAAACTATAAAATCAAAGTCTTAATAGCTACTTAAGAATAACTTTACTATTTAGTAAATAGATTTAGGTATTTAGAAAACTTATAACCTATATAAAGTAACTTAATTAATCTAGCTATAAGTACTAAGTATAGCTAGCTATAAATTAGTGTAGCTGATCCCTTACGTAAAGGTGGGATTTAGGCTGGGATTCAGGCCTCAGGCCCGGGCCCGGCTGACTACCGTCTCGCACAGGGCCTGTGCTGCAGGCACGAATTGCACTGGCGGCTCAAGTTTTGCGCAACGGCGTATCAATGCTCGTCGAAACTCGCTGCCAGACAACTTCATCGTCACTTCCTTCTGCTGTATGTCCCAGGCACCGAAAGTTGGACAGGCATTCAAGGAGCAGCTCGTCTATCTTTTTGGAGCCGCCTGATAGTCTGCATTCAACTCCAGAACGCTTTAACCCTGCTTGCCTACAAGGCACTCCCTTTCTACCCAGCCAATGACAAAAACCATTGACGCAGTCTCCCCTCGGTGATGGCAAACGATGATGGCAGTTCAAGGCACCCAACCCCCTTGCCTACGTTCCCATTCTCAGAAACACGCAAGCAGTGGCTCTTGGGAAACCATATCGTTCTTGCATCTTGTGATACAAATGCTGGGCACCCAGACTGTACCCCGTTTTGACATCCGCACGCCTGCAGCATCAATCCCTGGACGACAGATCCGGCACCAACACTCCCACGCACCCAAAGGCACCTTCCTGTCATGTCTGCAGTCAATTTAGCAGCTCAACCGCCAGCACTTCCTGCATCAGGAAATGGGCGGCCGCGCAATAAAGTTTCCTGTCAAGGGACTCTCCGCAGAGGCCCTGCCCCCTGCAGACCACCGTTTGAAGCCCCTATCCATCCCATCCATCCGCTGGCCAAGATCAGATCATCACCTCAGGTCGCTGCGGCCGCCCTGCCCCTGTGCCACCCAAACGCCGGACTGCTTGCTGCTCCGGTCGTCCCCCCTCGGATCCACGTCCTCGGTACTGCTAGCTTGCAACACCAAGTCCTGATTGGCAGCTCACAAGAAAGAGCACGGTGAGAAGTGACAGACGCCAAACGGCGCGAATGCCGCCCATCAGACCACCAAGAAATCCCCAACAACTTGCTGCGGGACCCTAGACGTTAGTGGGGGGTTCGCTCTGCAATTCCCATAGGGCACATCGCTTTGCCGACCGAAACCAAAGCCCGTTGTCGCGAACTGATGGATCACCGAAGAAACGACAAGTGACAGAATATTTGTCTTGGATTCGCTACTCCTACGCTTTCTGCTTCTTGTCGGCATGCTGCTCGGCGCTGCCCTCCTCGGCAGCCCGCTTGGCCGGCGTGATCTCGTCGCCCTTTGCCCTGGCCGCTCCGTCGTCGCCGTCATCGTCGTCCGCGTCGTCCGCCCGCGCCCCGTCGTCACTCTCAAACTCGTCCATCATCTCCGTGTCGTCGCCCTCAAACAGCTCCCGCCAGCTGCCATCCCGCACCTTCTTGTCGTTCCCGTGAAGCCCGACCTGGTACGCCTGCTTCATCGCTCGGAGGCATATTGTCCTGCGTTCGTTGAAGTCGAACATGGGCTTCGGGTACACCCCCTCTTCCGTCTTCTCCCCACGCCCCGTCACCCGCACGCCCGCCTTCTTCTGGTCCGGCAGCGGCGCCTTCCACGGCTCGTAAATGTACTTGGCGTCTAGCTTCTTCAGCTCCGGCACCCAACGCCGCACAAAGTCCCCGTGCTTATCCCACTTCTGGCCAAACGACACCGGGCTGTAGCACCGGAAGTACTGCGAGAAGAAGGCCGTGCAGCTCAGCCACTGCCAGTTGCCTGCGTTGGCCGCCGGCTCGTGGTCAATGAGCCACTCCTCAAAGACCTCGCAGCCGCGCTCCCAGTCGATGTAGCACCCCCCCCGAGTGAGAAAACAGGCCACAGAGTGCCGGCCCAAGTGGTGAATCCATCCCTCCTCTCGCATCTGGCGCATCAGGGCGTCGATCCACGGAAACCCAGTCAGTCCATACTTCCACCTCCTGAACCACTCGTCGGCCTGCTTGGAATCGACGTGGTACTCGCCAGTAATGAGCCCCGTCTTGGAGTCGACCTTGGATGGCAAGTGCCACGGGATGAATCGGCAGTAGGGATTATTCGCCGTCTGGGTGAATTTATACCCCAACGCGGCGTGCGCCGCAAAGTACATGTCGCGGAACAGCAGCTGGCCCAGCAGGTTCTCCGGTATCTTCGCAGCTCCCTTATACTTATCAATCACCTCCTTCGCTCTCCAATAGAACTCCCGCACAGACAGCGCCCCAAAGTGCAGGAACGGCGACAGCAGCGTCGTCGACTGCGGCTCAAACGCCGCCGGGCTCGTCTTGGGCTTCTCAAAGGTGGCAGTGTACTTCTTGTCCTTCAAGATCTCCTCGAGCATCTTCAGCGCCTTAGTCTCTCCGCCGCGGTGCGGCGTCGTCGCAGACGGGAAGCCATGCTCCTCCATCGTCTCGATCGCAAAGTCACCGTCCGGCCCGGCAATCTTCTTATACGCGGAGTCTCCCTCCGTGCGCTGCTCCTTGTTAAAGTCCGGCTTTGTCTTGGGCGGCGTCGGCTCAAAGTCCACCGGCATGTCGCCGGGGTCCGGGAGCGCCTCCGGCGCCGGGATCGGCTTCGCGATGGGCCCGACCTTGGCACCCGCCGCCTGCAGCTGCGCCATGGACATGGTCGGCTTGCCGCCGTGCTTCTCCACGACGGCGTCGCTGTCCCACAGCGTCCGCCCGCTCTTCACGATAACCGTGACCCCGGCCTTCTCGGCCGCCTTGATGACCACCTCGTCCCGCTCGCGCCCGTACGCGTCCGTGTCCTTCTCGAAGACCAGGTGCGTCACCTCCCACGCCTTGAACAGCTTCGGGAACAGCGTCTGCGGGCCCTCGCGCAGCACGAACAGCTTCGACTTGGGGTTGAGCTTGGTGATGCTCTCCGACAAGTCATTTTGACAATCTAGCCTGTCGCTTTGGTCAATAAAACACACTCCTTTAAATTGGGTTCCTGGGTCTGACAAACAAGAACTGCCACCGGTTCAGACCCCCTCGGGCGCGGTACACGTAGTGCGGGTCCCAGGTAAAGATGGGCCACAGCACGGCCGGGTCCAGGGAGAGGGCGGCCGCGAGGGCGGGTGAGTCGTGCAGCCGGAGGTCGGTCCGGAACCAGTAGATGACGCGCGGGCGGGAGGGCATCGTATGTTTGGGAGGGGGGTCCGCGGCTTGAGCGAATGACCTTGAGATTTCGGTGAATTGTGTAACATCAACAAAACCGAGCAATTGGTGTCCCTAATTGACATTTGCATTTCCGAGTCACGGGCAAGGGAGCACATATTGTGAAGCTATGACCAACGACGCGAGAGCTACAGGGGAAGAAAAGTCAATGATGTCAATGACTCTCAGCCACGCGATTTCTCTCTCTTGGAAAGAGGGGGGGCGTTTTCTTATTCAGATGAGAGGAGCCCATTTACTTTTTTCTGAACATTTCTCGGTTGCACCCGCTATCTACCTTACCCCCGGGGGATACGTATCGCACCAAGTGGTGTAGTGAGTGCTGGGCCACAAGGCGCACCGGGCTTGCGGGAACGTTGATGTTTAGAATTTTTAAAACAAGATAACTTGGGTCCGTCCTGGAGATTTCGCCATCTCCCGAAACTTTAGCGGCCATGTCGCGAACGGTTGTCCCATCCTCACCCCGCGATTCGGGCAGGGTGTGGCTGGCAGACGCAAAGATCCATGAACCCTGATTCAGACGGTCTCTCGGGTAATGGGGACATAGAGAGGGGGGGGAAGGGGGGGAGGTTTCCGCGGGCTGCAGATCCAGGGAGATTAAACAGGTCCGCGGGGCCCAGATAGAATGCGGTCCTTCTTCTTCAGAAATGCGCCTGATCATCATCCATTCTCGCGCAGGCGCGCGTGGTCATACGCATTGGATGCCTCCGTAGAGCCAAGCCGATCGCAAAGCCGAGTCCGGTGTGTGCTGTCTCGGCCCGTGTCGCCATCACACGTAGAGCGGTCGAGCCGAGGAATGCGAGAGATGTTGCAACGATGGCCCCGGTGGCCGGATACAGATCGTCGACGCCAACATGGTGGCGATGGGCCGATGTCTAAGTCAAGCGTGTCTCTCTCCTGCGGACCTCACGTGTTTGGGGAATTGCAGTCTCATGCCGCCATCGACGTGTCGATCGACTCCTCCCTTGTTTGCGGCTCAAGACATCCAAACCCCAACCAAGCCCTCCAGGTCATCACATGTCCGCGGCACCTTCCTGCGCGTAATCAGCAGTCAATGCACGACGATACTCGGTGTCCGGAAAAAGGCGGCGCCCCGACTTCAATTGGTCTCCTTCTGGTACCTAGCGAGGTAGCAGCAGATCTGTACCTGATGGAAGAGTACGAAAGACGGTTCTATACATGATGCCCCTCTTCCTGCCGACGATGCAAACCAGGCCTCATACACTACCAAAGTAAAGCTCAGACTTCCTTTTCTCCATGATCATGACCCATAAAGTTCCACTGAGGGTATAATAGATACGAAGAAAGGGTGTATAGAATCGACAGATGAAAATGGACAAATGAGAAAACAAAAATAACAAATCCGCGGCCCAGACCTCAGTCCGGTCTTCCCTTTGAAGACTCATGGTGCGAGGGCTAACTTGCCCGATGTGGTTGTCTCCAAATATGGCACTGCTGTGAAGTGTAGCGCACGCTCAATTCTTATATACCCGTGTCGCAGCAAACAGCCCGAGTCGGACGGGCATTCCCAAAATGAAGAGTATCGTCGCCGTGTATTTGCCGATCTGAGCCGTCTCCAAACCAACGCCAATTATGATATGCCTCTTTTCATCTCCTTCGATTGTCGGTAGATCTTCGACGATTCTCTGTTGACACGTCTCGGTTACTTCACCGCTGCTTCTTTGACTTTTTGCGCTTGTTTGACGACCCGCCCTCTTCGTCGTCTTCATCGCTGTCATCTTGACGACGTGACTTACCACCGGACTTTTCGTTGCCCTTCTTGATAGAAATCAGGCAACCCTGCTCCTTCAAACGCTTCGTGAGCGGTGTGCTGGCTTGCATGCCCGGAAAATCCTTGGCGTTGTAAACTTGGAACACGTCGCTCATGATGGTGGACTTGATGGGAGCCTTCGGGGAGCGATGCATCGGGTCGACGACGATTAACGCAAACCTCAGACGAAAGGGGCCAGGTGTGCGGACCGACATGTCAGGGAAACAGAAAAAGCAGCCCTCTTCGCCGTTCTCGTCTTGTCCCACAAAAGGAGAGGATACCAAGGATCCCATGAGCCGCTTTCCTGGTCGTACGTAGTCCGAGGGCATGTCGGTTTCGTCTTTTACTCCATCCTTGCACCAAATACTGCAGTGAACGACGTAAGCCGGGTGGTGGATCCTCTGGTACATTTCGTCTGGCGTAAGGTCGGGGTTGTTGATCCTGAGCTGGACGATGGGCGGCGGGTCGATGACTCTGCGATCTCTCTCGCCATATCCACAACATCTCGCCGCCACTGGTTGTTGTCGAAAGTAGATCTCATACTCGTTCTTGGGCGGTGCAGGCTTCTGGTCGATTGTGTGTTGCACAGCCTGTGATGCTCCGCCGCTAAGGAGATGTTCAATTTTGACCGATCTGTCCGGCTGACTAGTAGCGCTCCACGGCGCTCCAGCTGGCGGCACAGTAGATCCAGAGCGTACCGCTGGTATCCTCAAGCTCTGAGGGGTGAATGGGATAGCAACCTTTCCGTCATAATTGCTGTTGGGGACACGCGGGGCTCCAGGCATTTGCGGAGGCAAGTTTCTCGACATCATGTGCTGCTCTCTTGCTTCCTGGTACGGGTCATAATCCCCAGCAGGCGGCGGCGGTGCCCTTTGTGGCTCTCTGGGAGGTTCATAATTGGAGTACTGAGGCTGCGGCATAGGTGCTCGGTACGGGTCGTTACTAATTGCAGGTGGTGCGTAATGTTGGTACTGCGGTGGTGCTTGGTGATAAGTTGGTGATGGGGGCTGCTGGTACTCATGGTGGTGGTGATACTCGGGGCGATGGTACGGCGGCTGATGTTCTTGTGGCATCGGTCTCGGATGCGAGCCTGACATGCCGTTCATCAGGCCGGATGGAGGGGGCAGACGGGATGATGCAGTTTCGTAGTACGCATCCCCAGCAGACCTAGGCGGTCCATAAGTTGGAGATGGTGCCCACGAGGTGTTCCTTTGAGCCATGTCGTCTGGTTGAGCCCTGTAGTCGTAAGGTTGGTATTGAGGTGAGGGTTCAGCGTGATTGTAGGCCATGGTGAAGAGATATCTGCAGAGCAGTTGAGATGATGACGGGCTGCTGCTTCAAGCACGGCGGGCGGTTAGCAAAGCAGCCTATTCCGGCGCGAGGCCACAATCCACGTTCTCGGCTCGAGATGTGGCGGCCGGAGCAGACTCACTGGGTGGAGATGGTCTCAGATCCGTCCTCAGCCCTTGGCTAAGTTCAGTGTGGGAAACGAGACGTTCAGCTCCGGATGCGCTCAGTGTGATCGGCGCGTGGAAAAGATGCGAGTTGGAAATTAGATTGGCGAATGTGAGTGGATGGCAGAAAAAAACGGCGTCAGATGGTGGATGCAGGTCAGACCACGTCCATGGAAGCTCCTGGCGGAGGACAAAGATGAGGAGGAGCTAGTCGGTTGTCGGGAGCAGAGGATAATGTTGGATGCTGAAGAAGAATAGACGAGTGGGCGGTAGCCGGGAGGGGCTCTTTTGTGGTCGTGTCTTGCCCGAAGCACCTTTTCCTTGGCGTACGAACGTGGACAAACGTCGCTGGAACCCAAGGCTTCGTAGCAAAAGAGAGACAATTCGTTCCCTTTCTTATTTCCCTGTCGAGACCACCGGTCGAGGCGCGCAATTGAGACACAGTCTTCTAGTCGTTATCGGCGACGGGGAGTGCGGGCATCTACATGTACGAGTGATTGGGGCGTCTGGCAAGACGAGAGTCAAGCGACCGGGTAGACCCTTGCAGAGAGTTTGGGCCTAGCACACTCGGTCTGACGGCAGCACCCAGGAACCGGGAGAAGCGATCAGCGGAGAGAGGATCGATTCGTTTGGGCGATACCAAATGGCGTTGCTGATGGTACCGTATTGCATGCGGGACGGGCGAATGTCGGGTGGTGCAGCAGCACAGCGGCAGAACGTATGTACGTGGGTGAGATGGGCGAGTAAGCGCAATAGGGAGCGTCTTTGGTTTTTTTTCTTTTTTCCCTTTCCTGGGCTGGTCGGAACAGGGCAGGGCAAGGTAAATCGTGTTGGCCGGAACGGTTAGGCGGACGGCGTTAGATAGGTTTAAAACGTATGGTGGGCGTGGACAACAGAGAGGGCGTGCAATTGCTGATGTGCGCCGGTGAGGCAGAGCGAGGCGAGGTTGAAGGTGAGGGCGGTGGAAAGTAGAGAACGAAAGAAGAGGGCACAGCGGCGGGTGTTGCGCGGTGGGTGGTTGATGGCATGTATGTATATGAAGCCGCGGGCAACTAGACAGGGTCCGAAACGCAATTCCCAAAGTCGATTTGCAGCGCCGGGTTCTGGACGAATTGAGTGATTGGCGGAGGGCTGGGTCGCTGGATGGGTAGGATGGCTTAGGCCGAGTGGGAAGGGTGCGTATGGAGGAGGCCCCTTGTTTGCTCGGCGAAGGGCCTGTACTGTGTGTTTGGTATTGGTATTGTATTTGGTGTGGGATGCAGCGATTTGCGGTCCTGTTGTTCTCGTCTGAAGCCCGTCTGCGCGCTTGTCGTATGGCAAGCGTGTAGACGAGTTGGACGGACACAAGGAGATGGGAGCTGATGGTGTTGAAGGGATGGTCGAGGAAGAATATGAAGACGAGAGGAAGAGGAAAAAGAACGTGGGTGAGAATTGGGATGAGGGCCAGTGTCCAGTGAGTTGAAGTGCAGCCAGCAGGTCCAGTCCAGTGTGCAGGTCTAACCAGCATCAGCACGCGGCAGTGTTGGCTTGTCTTGTCTTGTCGAGAAGAGACCAGGATCGGGCCCCACGTCGGACAATGTGATGGATGGGGAGAGAAATTGGAGCCTTGGAGCTTTTGGGACTTGCGTGGGCTTGGACTTGGACGAGGGACGCGAAAGCCGACCGAGGAAGACGATGTGAGGGTAATGCTTAAGCGAGGATGGGAGGAGGCGAGAACGACGACAGGACCGATGGCAGTACAGTAGCAGCAGATGCACGTCAGAGAGGGGAGACGAGTTAAGACGGCCGAGATGGAGATGCCGCTGGTCTGCTGCGGTGCCGTGGTATCGGAGTTGGTGGTACAAAGTACTGATGGTGATGCGCGCCGTCCAAGTTAGAGTATCCGTACTTGAACTCGAGACCAGATGACGGGTACTCCCAAGCCCAAGCCAAAACCCGGTGCCAATTGCAGGCGTGAGGTGTGTGAGAAGGAGGAGGGAGGGGAGACGAAAGAAAGAGGCGTCGACTCTCTCGAGGCGTTTGTCCAGTTGGGGGGGCGGGCGGAGGAGTTGTTCAGTCTGAATTGGTTCATCAGGGCATCAGGCGAGGAAGAGACTAACCGGCGCGGAAACGGCTGAGCTGGGGCTTCCCCTGGCCCACTCGTTCAGTCGTCCACTTGTGCACGGCGGCCAGGATGTGAAGGAGGACGAGGGACGAATGGACAAGGGACGGGGACGAGGACCAGGATCCCAGCAACTGCAACTGCGAGTTGGGCCGGAACAGGGACCGGGATCATGGGTACGCCCCCCAGGGCAAGACAGGAGGCGACATTGGCCAACAGCTGGGGATGCACCGCATCGAGAGGACTCGGCCGGCCATGAGGACGGCCAGGAAAATACGTAGGTACAGCATACTAAGGAAATATGCAAGCATGTACTTTGTGTGTGAGAATGGAAGATGGAAATGACGGGATGTTAGGTAAGACGAGGGGAGGAGACATCTACCTGGTGGATATCCTGAAGGGACTTTGATACATTCAGTAAGATAGGTATCTACCAGCCATCCGTATGCATTGCAGTATTCACGTTAAAACTCGGACAGAAAGAAGGGGCCTTTGGTTGGTATTCCGTAGACAGATAGATACGTTATCCGTGCATACCTAACACAGCTGAGCTGCCTTTGGAAATGCAAGTCTACCAAACTAGAAAATGCATCTGGTTGGCCAGCAGCACGTCAGGAGAGGATAAGGTAAGCACTTGGTCGTGCTTTCCTCGCAACGCGTGGGAGGTCACTGGTGCGAGGAGGAAGGAAGATGGAGATAGAGGACGGTGGGTTGCAGTAGGTACGTACCGCACTTAACCAAAAGCCCGTGTGCCTTGCTGCGGACTTGGTACCATAGTACACTACGTAGGCAGAAACCTTATTTACTGAGGCAGGCAGGTACCTACCTACCTTACCTGTCCTGACTCCTCGGAAGGTTGGCTGGCTGCGTGAACGCTAACAACCGCAACCCACCTCAGCTAAAAAGTAGGTGCCTTACTGCGTACGTACTTCGCGCTACAATTAGGAAACCGGTTCTCGGGTTCCAACCTCAGGCGTACTGCGTTGACTCCTCGCAGCTTCAGCGCCCACCAGGGCTGTGTGTGGTGCGTCGATGGCTGTTGGTGGCTGTTGGGGCGCACCTGCCCTCGCCTCGGAGCACCCAAAATCACTCCTTGGTGGGCGTACAGCGTGCTGAAAGTCTCCAGGTCCATTGGCGCGCAGATTGCGCATGCGAGCCTCCTGCGCCCAGCAAGCAGGTCTGCGAATCAGACGACACTTCTCCCGTCCAGTCAAGTCCTGTTGGAACTTGGGACGCCGCAATGGATGCCCTCGATGAAATGCGACGCGACCTGGCATGCCCGCCCTCACCCCTCCAGGGGAAATGGGGAAAGGGCCCCCCATGTCCCGGCCATGTCCATGTTTTTTCTAACCATCCATCCATCCACGAGCCCATGTCGATCTGCCCCCCGTCACGCCTCTGCCCTCCATCATCACAGCCCGCCCTCGTCGGAGGGCGGGCGCGACTCCGAAGAACTGGACACTGGAAGCACAAGTCACCCTGCCCTCCTCATAAGTCGCTGTTTGCCCCTCCATTAAACGCTACTGTGCTGACGTCCACCCAGTGACTACCATCCATCACTCTGACCAGAGACCTTCACATGTATCCGTACCGAGTATGGAGGGCCTCACAGACAGGAAACCGGAGCAGGACACATGCGGATAGCGTGGCCACCTCATCTTGCGGGGATCGCTCGTGTCTGGGGCCGCTAACTGACGGGTAAACCCATAGCGGCCGACGATTGGCGCCGGGGGACTTGCCTGACGTGACGGGCCTTTGCTGGCTTTGGACTGCTGACGGAATCGTTGGCAGCGTCTGAAGAAGACGCCGGGCCTGTAGGCTAGAGACTTCCCTCGCGCACCTGTTCCGCACCAGAAATTGACGACTACGATGGGGCTTCATGTCAGCCAAGATGACAGAAGCTGAGGAGTCATTCTCGACGGATCCCATTCCACAATCCACGTGTGTCTCTTCTGAGTACAGGTGGGCAAAAAGGAGCTAAGCAGGGAAGAATCGCACAGTGTCTGTTTGACCTTCTACGGCAATCCTGGAGGCTGGAATGCGATGCTGGCGCTACTGACGCAGATACTGCAGTGTCCTGGGCCCACGCAGCAACACCGCATACACTAAGCCAGCCCGATATATCTCACTCTGGTGGTAAGCTGGGCTTCCACTCCAAACTGGTCTTCGGATCGTCGCCTTCGAAGCCCCTTCCATGGGTAGCAGCAGCATCGGATACCTGCCTTCGATGGGGGGTTCGATAATGGCACGAGAGATTGGAACTGGGTCGCCTGCACCACCCCCAACGAACACTTTTCACGCTTCTGGAAAACAATTCGGGGGCTCCTCAGATCACTTTTCTTTGTCGCCTCCACTGCCCTGCATCTGCATCTCCCGGACTCCGGAGAAGAAAATCTGCCCGTCTGCTTCGCCTGCCTCTCTTGCCTCGCATTCGCCAGTCACCTTGTAAGGAAGCCAAGTTCCAACAGACCGTCAGTCATCAATACAGTGGAGATTAGTTGCTTTCTGTCGCAGTGGAAGAGCCGATCACAAGACGGACCCAATACCGTTGTCTCCTCGCATCTGCAACTGGCTAGGCTGGCGGCCGAAGTACACCTGCCGTACACGAGGTACGCGGAGTGCGCCGTCGTTCAAACGCCCCGCCCTGAAACTCGGTCTCACGGCGCCCATGTCCAACGCTGCGAATGACAGAACGAGTCGAGGTCAAATTCCCGACCGTACGGATACAGCGACT